TTCCTCTCTTTGCTAGAAAGGAATAACTCCATCAGACACCGTAGCTCCCTGACTTCGTCCTTGATTTCCCGTACTTCCGAGCTGGTCTCCATGAGTCGGTGCTCGAGTTCATGGACCCTGGACGGCAGCTGCTCCARATCACCCATGACGCCTTGCTCTGATACCAAAATGTTATGGGCCCTGGTGTAGGATCTCGTCATGGGTCAATCCACGGGGAGAACCTCTAGTTTCCCCTTGCCCCTCCCTTTGCGTGCTGACCCTATCGTGGCGACCTAAGGGGTGATTTGTCCAAGAGATCACCCTAACTCTCCTTTACTCTTCTCTTTGACTGAAATTTTGGATGCCTTTATTCAATAATAGTGGCTCCTTAAATAGGAGATTACAAGAGTCCTAATCAAAGGGAGTCTCCTTCCTGAATAGGGAGACCTCCAACTCTATCTTGATAAGATAAGACTRATAAGATAAGATAAGTCTCTCTTAATCCTAATCTAATAAGATAAGTCTCTCTTAATCCCAATAAGATAAGATAAGCTAATCTACTAACTTAATAAGATAAGAATAACAAGATAGTCTAATCTAATCTGCTGAATGGATAAGACTGTTGCTACCAAATTGGATAGGATGAGAACACCGGATCATTGTTGCTGCTGCTCCCAATACGCGTCCACATCAGAAAGCATCTGCCAAAGGGCCCTCCAAACACCAGGGGTCCTTCCAGAACATTATTCTATCTCCTTTATCCACCTTAAGACTGATCCCTCCTAAGAGGGTAGGAAGATTCTTCATTATGCCTGTCCAAAGAGAGCTGCCCCAGCTTAGAGGGTCCCTCAATCTCCAATTACCCCATTCCACCCCATATTTAGTAGCTACTAGGTTTCTCCACCATGCATTCCTTTCAGAAGCAAATCTCCATAACCTTTTACTAAGAAGAGCTAAGTTAAATTTCTTCAGATTTATTACTCCCAGCTCCCCTTCTTCCTTACACACTTGATCCCACTTGACAAGGTGAATTTTTTTTCCATCTTCCCAACCCCTCCATAAAAAATTCCTCTGTAATTGCTCCAATCTTTTTTCTATTTTGTTTAGGATAGGGAAAAGGGAGAGAAAGTAGGTAGGTTAAAGAGGGTGCTCTTGATCAAAGTCACTCTTCCCCTAAATGACAGATTTTTCCTTCCAAGATGCCAATTTTTTCTCCATTCTCTCAATAACTAGGACCCAAACCGAAGAGGAAAACCATTTTTCCCCAAGAGGCAGCCCCAAATACTTCACCGAGAGGAACCCAACCTGGAAAGCCATCACCTCTGCACGTTCCTCTAAGTTTGAGACATGGCCCACTGGGATAATCTGACTTTTCTTCATGTTAACCTTCAGCCCAGACACCACTTCAAACCAGCTAAGAATTCCAAGTATATTCCAACTGATTCGGAGAGGCATCAACAAAACATAAGGTACCATCTACAAATTGGAGGATGTTGACCTTTTCCCTTTCAAGAGAGATTGCAAAGCCTTCCCAACAACCAGATGTTGCGGCCTTCTTGCTAAAGAGGGTGAGGATTTCCATGACACAAATGAACAGCAAGGGAGAGAGGGGATCACCCTATCTCAAGCCTCTGGAACTGCCAAAAAACCTTGCAGATTACCTACTTATTAGGACTGAAAATTTAGGGGACTTGATGCAAACTTTGATCCAGTTTCTCTAATGCTGCCCAAAATTCATTCTTTCCAACACAAAATCCTAGCATCTCCAATTAACATGGTCATAGGCTTTCTCAATATCAAGTTTACAGATCAAACCCGGAGTTCCCACTCTTCTAGAGTCAATAAGTTCATTAGCAATGAGAACTGAATCTAACATCTGCCTCCCCAGGACAAAGGCACTTTTATTATTAGCAATTACATTGTCTTTCAACCAACACTTTAGCCAGGATTTTATAGAAGTTGTGTAAAAGGCTAATTGGCCTAAAATCCTTGAAATTCACGGCCCCGTCAACTTTTGGAATAAGGGTAATAAATGTGGCATTTAAGCTTCTTTGAATAGAAGCATTTGAGTGAAACACCTAGAAAACATTCATCAAATCTTGTTTCACAAAGTCCCGGCATTTTAAACAGAAAAGGTTTGTTAGACCATCCAGTCCTACACATTTATCACCAATTCACCATCCATCTTGTTGATTGTTGCCCTAACTTCCTCCTCTGTGAAGGGTCTCTCAAGCAAGAGTTTTTGTTCTTCATTTAACTGCTTGAAAGGCAGATCCATAGGGAGGGGTCTATGAGTCCAACTCTCCGTGTAGAGATTTTTATAAAAAGAGGTTGCTATTGACTTAATTTCTACAGTTGATTCCCCAATTCTACCTTCTCACTCTAGCTTATTTATTAAGGAGGCTCTAGATTGGGCATTTGCCATTTTGTGTAAGAAGTGTGTGTTTTTGTCACCCTCCTTTAACCAAGTGACCTTAGCTCTTTGTCTCCATTTAATTTCTTCCTTTACAACCAATTTGTCAAAGTTGATTTTTGCTTGGGATCTTTTCAGCCTCACTTCTTCTGATAAGGGACCCACCTCCTCTGCTTTATCAATTTCTTCAACAAAGCTCAATAATGCTTTCCTTTCAAAATCCGAGTTCAAGCTACTCTCTAATTTCCAAATTTTTAGCTTTTCTTTGAGCACCTAGTTTTTTTGCCAAATAAAGGAATTTGAACCCTCCACCTGAAGCTCACTCCACACAGACTTCATTAAAGGAATAAGGTTGTCTACACAAAGATTGCCTGTACCATAGCCTTACTTTTTATCCTTGAAGGGGTCTTTATTGATCCATCTAAAGCAGATAGCAGAATTTGGACACTCACTCCCTCGGGCTCTTATACTTGTGCCTCCTTTTTCAAAGCACTATTACCCTCTCATCCCGCTGGCCTTTCTTTTCCTGTTAAAGAAGTGTGATGTCGACCTATACCTCCTAAGGTTGGGAGTTTTTGTTGGGAAGCCTTCCTGGGAAGAGTTAACATAGGGGATCTACTCCAAAGGAAAAGACCCAACAGCTGTTTGTCTCCTCATTGGTGTGTTCTCTGTAAGTCTGACGGTGAGTCCGGATATCACTTGCTAATTTCTTGTCGGTTTGTTAAAGCTACTTGGGTATGGTTTACTTCTTTGTTTGGATGCAGGTGGACCCCCCCCTCTGAATGTTCGAAGCTTGTTTTCTTCCATGCCTAATTGGCCAACTAAAAGGGCTAAAATTATGTGGAGGTGTGGTAGAGCTGCAGTATGTTGGACAGTGTGGGAGGAGAGGAACTCAAGGATCTTCTCAAGTAAAGAGAGAGGTATGGAAGAAATTATAGAGAGCATTCACATTAGAATGACACAAGGTTGAGAACACTGGAGCTGTTCAAAGTGTTTTCAGTTGATGAGTTGTTAAGGAATTGGAAGGAGATTGCAGATTCATGCCTACGTAGAAAATTATCAAAAGCTTGCTGGAGTCCTCCACCTATTGGATTCACCAAACTGAATTTTGATGGTAGCAGCATAGGCAACCCAGGGCCTTCTGTAATTAGAGGTGTGATAAGGGATGGAACAGGGAATGTGTTAGCCATGTACTCTGGGCTGATTGGGATGGGAGATTCATTGAGGGCTGAGATTCTTGGAGCTATTAAAGGAATTCAAAGGGTCAAGGAAATGAAGATCAAAAAGGTGGTTATAGAAGGTGATTCTGCAATGGTGGTGAAATGGCTAACAGAGGACAGTGCTATGATGTGGAAATACAGCAATGAAAAGAGGAAATATAAATGGTTAACTAGGGACATGGAAATTCAATGTAATTGGATAAAGAGAAGTGCAAATGCATTGGCTGATGGTCTAGCTAGGCAAGGGGTAAATAGAGACACATAATTCTGGGCTGTTTTGTAACCACTACAAGATCAGAAAGTTCTTGGGTAACTGGAGTTAAGACCTTTTAGCTCCATCCCGTTGTAATCTTGTTTTTATCATTAATAAAATTTCATTGTTACTGATCAAAAAAAAAAAAGGAATAAGGTTGTCTTCCTCAAACCATGCATTTTCAAATTTAAATGGAGCTCTGATTTTCTCTCAGTAACCATAGATAAGCTGAATAGGGCTGTGATCAGAAACTTGTCTAGGGAGGGAAATCTACCTAAAATCAAGGAGATTTCATCCCAATTTGAAGATATCAGATCTGTCCAGTCTCATAAGGGTAGGGTTTTCTTGATTATTGGTCTAGGTAAAACTGTTACCCTGTAGAGGAATATCCATCAATTCCATATTATTAATGAATCAACAAATAACCTCATCGAACTAGTTCTTCCACTCCTTGTATTTTTTTCTTCAACAGACAAGAGTCACATTGAAATCACTACCTATGACCCAAGGATAGGTCAGGGAGCCCATCATATCTGCCAAATCCTCCCAGAAATCAGCCCGGAGACTTGAAGTCGTTGGTCCATAAACATTTGTCACTTGACAAATATTCCCATCAGGAAGTTTCAGAACATAAAAAACATATTCAAGCATGTAGAACCCCCCCCCCCATTCTCTTTTTTATTCCTCAATTGCATTACTTCAAATAGCTAATGTGATTTGAAGTGTGCACAGCAAAGCATGCCTTCTGAAAGTGTTGCGCCTGGGGCCTAGGTGAGGCGTGCCTTTTATATCAATGGATGCAACATTACTTAACTGACCAAATCATGCCCAAGTAAACAGTTTCAGCCCATATATTGCCACCACCAAGTAAATATTTAACTATGGGCATATCTGGTATCATTGTGTTGCATGACCATTTCTCTGCCATGTTGGTGCCACATTGGCAATTAGACTTTACCAAACCATAATCTTGATTGCTTGGGCTGATCAAGTACAAACGTTTTGTACTGCCTCTTACCTAGGGTTATGTGAAACTCACTGTCAAATGAAACATAATTTAGACATTTCCTGCTCAGTAGGATGTTGTGTTGGTGTTTTCTCCTATGTAACATCTAATGGTGCTTATGTGTAACAAAAAGCAATAAACAAATATTACATTGCACCTTGTGCCAACCCTTTTTTTTATTTCCAATGAACAAATCAAGAAAAAACACAACACCACAATGCCAAACATCCACTATATAAATACACCTACAACTTCTAGCAAACTTTCTAGGTGGAAACAAGGTGAGATCCCAAGTGTGGTTACTACCAAGTGCATAAATTTCCCCATCAATATTTGTTCCCAACCAAGATATGCAAGCGTCTCTTGAATGGAATTAGTGATGGGTATAACAATGAAAGAAACTAGTGATAATAAGATGGGGAAAGATAATCTAAAGAAAGCAAATGAGGTATGGAATGTGCAATACAAGAACACTTGCCCTTACATAAAGCAACTAGAAGGTCTATATTTGATGAAGGTACAGGATCCCTTGATGGAGATGAACTTGGTGGATCCAAAGTAGATGTAAAGCCTTCCCACATGTATACACTCTTTCAATGGATGGTTGCACAGTAGAGAGCAAAGTGGATGCACCTGGAACAATAAAATCAAATGGAAATGCTAAAGGTATTTTAAGAAAATCCGAATACCCAGAAGTATCGAAAAAAATGGGGTTGACTCAAAAGAATATAACATGACAAATAAATGATTTATTCAATGTGGGATTATAAATTTGTACCCTTTTGGGGTCCTAGAATATCCAAGAAAAACACTTATGGCACAAGGGTCCAACTTATCACAACAAGGATCAAGACTTGAACAAAACATATGCAGCCAAAAATAGAAAAAGGAGACAATGAGGGAAATAACTAGGAAAAATAGAGACTAACCACCAAGAACAATGAAAGATATGCAGTTAATGAGATAACAAGGTGAAAAAATTGCATCACACCAATAACTTGGGAACTAACATCTGGGTTAACAGAGAGCAAGCAACATCAAGCAAGTGGCAATACTGCCTCTGTACAATACCATTCTGTTATGGTGCACAAGTACATGAGGTATGATGAATAATACCATGCTGGATAAAACAAGCCCCAAACAAACCAAGAAAGTAGTCACAGCCATTGCCAAAAGGAGATAATTTAATAGACACACCAAATTGATTATGAATTTTAGCAGAAATGAATGTAAAATAGAGAATAATTCAGAAAGCTCTTTCACTAAACAAATTGAAATCAGTCTCGAATAATCAAGGTTAAATAGTATCTAAACCTATCATATGAAATAATAGGTCTTGGGTCCCAAACATCAAAAAGGACTTGACACCCTACTCTCTATTCGGGGAGCAAAGGACACCCTATAGTGTCTGCTCAACCGACATGACACACTCTAAAACAAAAGTGATTGCAAAGAAGGAACCAAATGCTTCAAGGTTTGAAGTGATGAATAACCAGGCTAACAATGCTATTAATGAAGAGTAAGGCAAGAACTGAAGGCCATTTGTGTGCCATCCCCGTCCATGTAGTACAACCGTCCAGGTTTAGGTCCTCTACCAATGCTGTCAATGAATTGGGCAGGTCCAACAAATCCAAACCCATGGTTTGCAATTCGTATTAATGGGCACTTTGCTATGCAAAGATGGTGAAATTTCAGGGATATTTCACTAAGATATTTTGAAAGCCTAAAATGTGAAGGAAATTTTCTAAAATCATGAAGTTGGTTGGTAAATCCTCAAGGAACCACTAGAAGAACTATAATTGCACATTTTAAGTCTAAAATAACCATACAAAACAAATTTATGAATCAAATAGAGAAGATTAAAAGGCTTAAATGTGTAACTATACTTCTTCTATAACTGAAAATAATTATGCATTTTTAACTAAGTTACCATATGCTAATACCCTAAAAAATACTTATTTCTCTCATGATAGTTGTTGTAAATATTGTCACAATATGATGTCCAAATATGTCAATTTAACAAACAAGTAGGTTTGTTGTCAAAGTTAAAAGTATATCTATCAATTAGAATCAAATATTGTCAAGTTAGATCCAATTGTCCCAATTATAAACCCTATAAGGTCTAGTTTGGAATTGGTTCTTCACATTTACTCAAGTCAAGACCGAGTCTACAGTGACCTAAATCAAACCTGACCCATTGACAACATTAATCATCTTCCTCCATCTTAAGATTCTGAAAAGCATAACAAAAGAAGGTAATTAAGCAATGAAGGAATTTGGTTAATTTAATAGACATTAAGGGGGTGTTCTGTAGTGTGATTGAGAAATTGGGTGGCACCATGCCACAGAAGGACAGGTGTTCTGCACCGTGGATAAAAATGAGTAGCCTGAACCACACCACACCAACATAGGCATTCTACAAGGTATGGTGTTGTTCAGGCCACACCGTGTGTTTTGACTCCATGCATCTCATATACACCATTTAAGATGATCTAAGTTGTTGATCAAGAGTAATATACTTTTTGATATTTTCAACAAAATTAATAATTCAAACAAAAAATGCAATTTAACCATGACTAATTTGAATTAATATTAATTATCTATAAGAAAATTGATAAAAATTATAGGGTGAATTCAAAAAATTAAAAGTGACAAAAATATAAAAACACATATATAAGAGAACTAATATTAATTACAAATAATTAATAAAAATTAATATGGAATTATTGAAATTAGTAAAAACATAAACTAAAGTCTCACTTTTAATAGCAAGTAATAACAATTATAATGGTAAGATAAATATTAGTATTTAGATAATAGGACAAATAATTAATAAAAAATATTGTATGAATTAATAATAATAATAAAATGAAATTAATTAACTATGATTTAAAACACATCTAATTACATGCGAAGCATGGGATAGCTAATTGAGTATAGTCCCCTGTGGCGTGGTTACAACCACGAGAAAATGCTGTGGTCAAAACCCACGAGATAGTGGGTTTCGGTCCGCACCAAACCATAACTGAATAACTGAATGTAGTGTGGGATGGTTCGAAACCCACTATCTCGTGGTTCTACCACACTACCAAATGCCACCTAAGTTGAGGAGAAATTTAGGAGATTATAATACAAATAATAAAGACAAGGATAAGGTACGAGACATACTACCAATACCAGACACTGATGTTTTAATGCCATCAGAAAGGGTAACAAACTGAGATGTCGATGAATGAGCAAGACAAAATGGGTCCAATGAGCAAGACAATTGACTCTCTTCTCTTCACGACTGAACAAGAAGAGAAGACATCAGCTCAAGCTATGAAGGACAAAATGGGTCCAATGAGCAAGACAATTGGAAATGAAAATGGTATGCTGGAACGTTAGAGGGGCTGGCCGTCCTCATCCCAGGTCCAGGAAATTATGAGAAGCTATAGGCCTGGGATCTGTTTCCTGAGAGAGACAGAGTCAACCTTAGTAGTTCTAGTAGTACTATCCTATTGGATTTTTGGGGGATTTGTGGATTTTGTGGGATGACTAGCCAATGTAATGTCAATATAATTTTATCTAATGAAAGGCTAGTTCATGCTTTTATCATTGGCCTCTCTACTAATCAGTCTTGGTTTAATACTTTTGTTTGCACCCCTCCTAATAAACAAGATCAAATTATTGTGTATAATTGTATCAAAGAGATTTCTGATAACACTAATGGGGCGTGGTGCCTCGTGGTTAACTTTAACACATTCAGAAATAGTGCAAACAAATGTGGTGAGAAGGTGGTGCTCCTGAATGCATAACTAAAGCTCCAAACCTAACGCGAATGAGAACAATAATATCCGATTAGCTACATCCATTAAACCAATTCAAAGGTTCAGATCCTTCAGCCCCATTAAAATAGAACCCGAGTAACACTTGACTAAACATTAAACAAAAAAGGACATGGAATAGAGATAGGGAGAAGAACATATAAAAAACGCTAATGCTGAACATGAGAAATCATTCCAAGAACAGGTAAAACCGACTAACATGATAGCATCCAAATATCGTTTAGTCAATAAACGCTATGTAAGAAAATGAAACTAGGAGAAGACACCCGAAACTGACCAGGTGCACTATGATGGCCTTTTTAATCAAGGATGCCGTTTACACAAGAAGCCTGGATAAGTCGCGATTAATGGAGCTGAATCTCACTCCAGAATGTAGCATTCAGCGGTGCGTCGAAGCAAATGCTTCACCTAGAATCCCGGATTGGGTTTAGGAACTTAACATTAAGTTGAAATGGCGAAATTCTATATTGAATGCAGTATTATACGACAACGACTTTTGATGTTCAACCGAGAGACGAACGGAGGGTGCGGCAATGCTCTGCTCAGTTTCAACGACGGGGCGGAAGAGAGGTGAAGGAGAGAGGAAAAAGAAAGGGGAAAAAAGGAGAAAAAGAACGAGGAAAGGGGAAGAAAGATCGAAAGGGATAGATTCGAAGGAGATCCCAAATTCTCCGGTTCGGTCACCTCGCTCTTCCCAAAATCAAAACCAGGGATAATAAATTGATAACGAAAAATCAAAAAACCGAATTGAACCGACGAGATCGAACTGAAAATTCCGGTTAACCGAATCGATCGGTTCGGTAATCAAAGTTATCGGTTTCGGTTAACCGTGGTTAATGGAATCAACCGATACATATCTATATCTATATTTATATATATATCTATATCTATACTGAATAAAAAAGAGCAAATAGTTCTATTTTCTAGACTTTTCTTAGACCTTACTACCCTTATTTGTCTAACTGCTTAGTTAGCAAGTGAAGGGAAAATTGGTAACTTTACGATTATCACTGTAGGTGTTTCTCTCTCAGATCCTCTCTCCCACTTCTTTTCTCCTTTAGACCCTCATCCATTTGGTTTCTCTCTCAGAACCGAGAAAGAAGACACTATCTCCCATTACTTTCGAATCTTTTTGTAAGTTTTTCTCCCTCAGACCCTCACCCATTCGGTTAAGAATACCCTATCTCCCATGAAGTATCCCACTATCCTCACCCATTTGGTTTCTCTCTCAGAAACGAGAAAGAATACCCTATTTCCCATGTCCTCATACTCTGTTTCATTTGAAAAAGAACTCTCCCACGAAGTCTCCCACCATTTCTCTCACAATTGGGGATTACAGTTATTTGGAAATGTATTTAAATGGAGTTTGTACTTCTTTTGGAGTACGCACAAATTCAATAGAGCAACCGGAGGATTCATTTGTGAAAGGGGAAAGCAACGGAGAAGTGAATATTCGACTAGGAGAACAACTGAAGGAGAGGAACTCGACGAAAGCAACTGAGGAATTTCTAAAGGTAATGTTTAATATTGAAGTCCTTATTTTTCATTATTGTTGTTGGTTCATGTAATTACAGCATTTACATTTATCAAGCAAATTAAAATTGTCTTGGTTCTAAGTCCTGATTTTTTATTATTGTCGTTGGTTCATTTTCAAGCAAATTGAAAATGGCAGGCTCCATTTTCTATTTGCCTAACCGCTGAGTAAGCAAATTGAGAAATCAGGTTCCATTTTCTATTTAATGTATTGTAATGTATTTTAAATGTTACAGCATTTAGATTAATTTTTTTTTAAGGCTTAAATCATATTTCATTCATTCAATTTCCAATGGGTTGAAAAATACTGGTTTTAACCCATTGAAAATTGAAGTTATGTGATTTGATTCATTTTATAAGCAGGTTTGAATCAACGTCTAAATTCACAACTTCAAGCAATCTGATGTACAACTTATATTGTCACCCATTTGCTTGAAATCAGTATTGCTCTTATCAAATATTTTTGCTTTTGATTTTGAGCTAATCATTGTATTTTTTTGTTATTTTTGTTATTTTTTTTTTATGTTTCAACCCATCGGAAATTGAAGTTATGTTATTTGATTCATTTTATATGTTGGTTAGAAACCAACATCTAAATTCACAAATTAAACCCATCTGATGTAGAAATTATATTGTCACCCATTTGCTTGAAATCAGGTCTGCTCTTGTCAAGTTTTATTGCTTTTGATTTTGATGTAATCATTTTGTTTTTTTATGCTTTTTGCTATTTTTTTTTCCAGAATGATCTTGAAGTATACCATTTTGTTTCCTCTCTATTGTTTGTTGTTATATATTGCTTCTTTTCTTTCAACCATAATGAAATTACAGTTAATGTATTAGTTTATTTTTGATATTTCACTTAGAAAATAGATGACAACACGAGATGAGGATTTCCTTCAAAAATGTACTTAGCGAGTTGTGCTCCAAATTGCGCATGTCAATTCCCATATTCTTTGTTGAAGAAGTTGGGAAGGATTTCAAGGCCTCCGTTATTAATTGGAACCGACAATTGGAAAATCTATGGAAGGGAATGTATTTCTAAAATGGAAACGGAACAAGATGCAGCTAGGAAGGCGGTTAAAAAAATAGTAGAATACTTCAAAATGAAAATAGAGGACATGAATTATGAAGACTTACAGTTCTATATGCATAAATGCTCAAAATTGAAAATGTACATTGATGATTTGAAAATGGAGCTACTAAAACTAAAAAATAGCCTTAATGACAACGGAGTTGTGAGAAATGAAGGTACTAATGATGAAAAACCAGAAGAAGACGATGAATATGTTGTAAGGGGAATATAGTTTATCTTGTGTTTAGTTTATGAATGATGTTAGAGTGAATCGTAGTAAGAGTGCTTGTTTTAAGTTTATGTTCTCTCAACACAATGTGCTTGGGCATTATATTAAAACTGTATTATGCAGCGTAAGGTACAATTCAGCTTATAGTTGAGCCCATAATTTATATTTCTTAGAACCCCTTTGCTTAGCTAAATAACTATTTGGAAGAGATTGATAGTTGATAATTGGTATTAGTACATATGATACTCATACATTTTGATGTGTGCGCATGCTACACATTATTTTTATTGCTTTATACATGGTTTTGATGATGATTCTTAAAGGTTTTTATCCTAATTGAACTGAATTTCAGGAAATTGGGAATTTGGGACAATTTAGAGTTAAGAGAACATAATACATAGTGATATGGCGGCAAGGGGAGGACTTTGGCCCACCAAAGAGAGAGGCCCAACCGCAGCCCTATGGGAGGCTCCAAAAGGCGACTAACTTTAGCAGAGTTCGAAGAGGATTAGGACTCTCAACCAAAAGCTGCAAGAAAGAGTATAAAAGAAAAAGAGAAAATTAGGGTTCGACCCTTTGACACAAGAACGAAGAGGAAAGTGCTAGGAGAAGGATCACAAAGCTATTCAAGGAGAATTGAAGAAGAGATCGAAGATTGATGCAAAAATTTTAAGTTGTCTTCTTCTTTGATTTTGCGAATTCGATAACCTAGATTCAATTAGGGTTTTTCTTTGTTGAATATTTCTTTCTTTTTATCATGCGAACCATGATGGATGTTAATTCAGATTTGTAATTAATCTTTTAAGTTGATCCTATTGATAGTGATTCAGTCTTGGGATTTCTTGATAAGGGTTTTCCATTATAAGAGTAATTTTGGCCGAACTGCTCTTATTTCTTGGATTACTTAAATTGCTTGAGAAAGGGTTTAGGTAATCAGATCAACTGATCAAGAAAATGGATTGAATGTATCTTAGAGATAATGTGCATGATTCGTTTGGCATGCATTTAGCAAGAATTGATTTTCTTCAAATTCCTTGTTTTTAATGCATCTATAGCGATTAAATTCTTGATAGAGATATAGGAGTTATTGCTCATAGATAGATTGGTATGTGCAAAAAAGAGGCTGCCCATACAATTAAGAAATAGCCAACCCATGCCTGAAATCAACTTCGGTTGGATAGCTTAATGGTATAATTGCTGAATCGGTTATGCTAGTATTTTCATGAAGCATTTTCTCTAATTCTTTAAGGTGGTTTGATCCGAGAATACCTAGGATAGTTTTCTAATTAGGAGATAAGTTTTTAATTTCTAGATTGTCAGATAACATAAGGCAGGTTTAGTACTAGTAGTTGTTGAATTAATCCCCATGGGAACGATACTCTACTCATCAATATATTACTTGATCGGCTAGTGCACTTGCTAGTGTAATCTAAACGCACCAATTTTTTGGCGCCGTTGTCGGGGATTATCACAACAATATTAGGAACCGCCTACTGTTGTTAATTTGATTTTGTATAATATGTTCATGATATGTGTGTATTAGTATCTTTTCGACTTTGACTTGTACAGTATATGACACGTAGAAGTGAAAAGGAGAGCATCATCTATGATCCAGAGATTGAACGAACTCTCTACCATCGCCTTAGAGCTTCGAAGCAAGGGAAAGTTGAAAGTACAAAGATGGCCGAGCAAAGGACAATGGTGGACTATGCCAAGCCAACCTTCATCGGGGCAGCCTCGAGCATTGTGAGACCAGCAATAGCTGCTAATAACTTAGAGATCAAACTAGCAATCATTCAGATGATCCAGAACACTATTCAGTTCTGCGGCTTCGCTAATGAAGATCTGAACACTCGCATCGCCAACTTCTTGGAGATATGTGACACATTCAAGCACAACGGAGTTAGTGATGATGCTGTGAGGTTCAGATTATTTCCGTTCTCATTGAAGGACAAGGCTAAGACTTGGTTGAACTCTCTACCAGCTGGATCGATCTCTACTTGGGATAGAATGGCCAGTCGCTTCCTGTCCAAGTATTTCCCTTCGTCTAAGACTGCAAAGATGCGGAATGATATCACCACTTTCTCTCAGCAGGACGGGGAATCATTATATGAATCATGGGAGTGCTACAAGGAATTACTGAGGAAGGTCCCTCATTATGGACTTCCCGTATGGCTCCAAGTTCAGACATTCTGCAACGAATTGACTGAAGAAAACAAGGGATTGACATTATATAACACTATCTACACAAATCAACGCCCTCAGCAAGAAGATCGATGAAATGCAGTTGGCAACCATGCATGTTCAAGCCGTAGCCTGTGAATGGTGTGGGGGAGGTCATATCAACACCGAATGCCAAGATGGAAATCGGTTCATGCAGTCCCCTGAGCAACTAGATTTCGTAGAGAATCTTCAAAGGTAGCAAGGCAATTACTACCCTCGTACCTTTAACCGCGGATGGAGGAATCACCCCAATTTGTCTTGGTCAAATAAAAATATGATGAAACCCCTCTATCAAAACTTTGCTTAGCCAAAAAAGAAATCTAATCTAGAGGAGCTGATGACTAAGTTCATATCAAGTGCGGAAACGAGATTTCAGAATCAAGAGGCATCGATCAAGAATTTAGAGACTCAAGTGGGGCAGTTGGCACAAATGCTATCCTCTAGTGTTCAAGGCACCTTACCTAGCAACACAGAAGCGAATCCAAGAGAACAAGTGCAAGCCATTACCTTGAGGAGTGGTAAGGAGCTGCAAGAGGTGGAGAAGAAAACAAAGGAAGAAGGAAAGATGGGCACAACCCTAGAGACCAAAAGGAAGGAGGAAGAACAGTCAGATTCAAGGAAAGAGACAAGTCAAAAGCCACAAGTACCATTTCCCAGATGCCTTAGCCCAGATGTCGCATTATGCAAAGTTCCTTAAGGAAATCTTGGCGAACAAAAGGAAATTGGGAGACGTTGCTACAGTTGCACTGAATGAAGAAT